TTGTAACAGCGGAGGGACATTAACCATAATGGCTGGTATTGCACGTGATTATTGTATTGCACGGGTCAGTTGTTGCACTAAGTTCAGTGACAGAAAGTTGAAATTTCTAGTTGCAAAATGAACATGCTGAAATGGATGCATAATGCGGCAGTAACAGTGGACAGTAAGTAAAGTGCAGTTGCGATTTACGTTTTCTTGTGTGTCTCCTGCCGGGTGGTTAAACAGGTACTGTTGGATGTGGTGCGTTGCTGGTTTTGTTTTTCCTCCAGCTTCCTTTCCTTCTCTGTGATCATAGGGAGGAAAACGTGACGTTTGTATCCCACACCTACACAGCACCTGTGCCATTTCAGCTATGGACACTGATCCCCAGTGCAGTGCAGACAGGATTTCCTGTCTGAATTTTCCCTCAGGGATTGTGTGTGTGTGTGTGTGTGTGTGTGTATGTGTGTGTGTGGGTTTTTTTTTTTTTTTTTTAAACAGGATGTGTTTACTACATTAGATTATCCATTTTCAGGGTGTTGAGGGGGGACATTGCTTATCGGCAAATCTAGAGGAAGAATGGGTAGGCAAATGGGTTATTCTTGTCCATTTTGGGAGCCGTCCATTTTCTTCTGAAGACCTTGTCATTATTTTGCATGGCTGTATTAAATGTTGGCAAAATTTTATGCTTCATATAGCACTGTTTCTAAAATGGTAACCTTAGTTCATCTGTGATGCTCCAACACAATGTAAATAGGCTCAAAAATATTTATTGTGTAATAAAAATTGCAAATTACAAAGGCTAAAAAGCTAGTTCTTGTATTTGACAAGCTTAGCGTTTTATAGAAGCGTTATTTGCCTTCTGCTGCAGCTACAAGGTGAGAACTTTCTCTTTTCTGACTGTCATTCTTCAGACAGTACAGTGTAGCTTTTCTCATGTCTTTAGATGTTTTCCACTGAGGTCAGTCTCCGACTTATGCAGCTGACCATCCATTTTGTAATGATTGATTGCTTGTTGGACGGTTGTAGTTATTGTACTTCTGTGCTCAAAGGCCTATACTGGAGGCTTGTTAGTTGAAGCTCCGTCATACGCTGTCCTTGGAATGGATGGTGATGTTAAATATTAATGGAATGAAAAGCAGTTATTGCACAAAGCATCTCAGGTAACTGTTACTTTATAAAAAAAAAAAATAATAATAAATCTAAGCCAGAGCAGACTTTATATCTCCCTCTCCCTCTCTCCTTCTCTCTCTCTCTCTCTCTCTCTCTCTCTCTCTCTCTCTCTCTCTCAACATAGCTTTTGTTAGTGTTCAGTAAGTCTTGGGATTTTGCTTATTTCTTTAAGAATTGCAAGTTTATGGGTTTCATAACAAAAGTCCATTGACAGGCAATGTGTAACGTATTTGCACATATCATCCACACACACATTTTCTTTTAAGTGTCATTTTTTTTCTTCACTGACTCTGTTCAGTTCTGTTCTTTCCATGTTGCTAATAATGTCAGTTGCAGTCACTGGCTCCCAAAGCGGTACCAAATACAAATGTTTGGTGTTTTTGTTATTGCAAATGTCACAGCACCCAATTAACTTTTTAACTCTGATCACTTTTTTTGAACTATAATTTGGGTTTCAGTGTATCACTACTTCAAATTAATGTTTTATTTATAAATTAATGAAGTCATGATTTTTGTTATAAAACCAATAATTTGCTTTATTTTTACTGAATTAAGCAAGCATCCCAAGCCTTTCTGTGAGTGCTGTATAATCAGTTTAGAGTGGGCTGTGCATTGGAAAAATGTGGAATTTCAAAATATCATGGGATATTTTTATGGGCAGAATGGATCAGTGGGCAGCTCCGTAGTTTCATACCCCCCCCCAAACACACACACACACACACTAGTTTTCAAAGATGATCAATAAATGTGCTTGAAATTCATTTTTTGGTAAAAATTTATGCATGGTTTCCTGTGAAATGAGCCACACTTATCACACACCAAAATCTTAAATTTACATCGCTGTTATATGAAGTTAGAATGGACATTTCAGAGCGACGAGCCTGAGACGTCTGCTCACGTTTTTAAACATGTCCCCGTATTTGGGAAATTTTAACTTTATATTTATACTGCACATACTTTTTTGCTGCCAGATGTCGTCATTTCAGAAGTTTGAATATTTGAATGCTGCATAATCAACAAAATTTTTAAGAAAAATGTATGGCATTTAGTTAGTGCAAGTTTAACTAAGGTCATTATGTTGATTTTTTTTCTATATAGTTTGAACAAATAGCACATGGTGCCTCGAAGAGCTCTTAGAAATATCCTTAACCTTAATGAAAAGCATCCCAATTGTAGACTACACATGCATGGATCTTAGTCTGCTTGCAAGGAATCATTTTACCTTAGATATTTACTTTAGATATCTTGCTTTTTTCGTCATTTTAAATATTTGGGAAAAACTTCCCAGTCTCCTCTATACTTGATAAATTGACTTTTGCTGGTTTACTTGGTTTTGTCTCTCTCTGCGGAGCATTTTGACTGTGTGCTGCAGAGAGTGAAACAAAGGGCACTACAGTAGGAACACGATTGTGGCGAATTCGTTATGGCTAAACATAGCTGCCTTTAACATTCACCATTGTCTTGTTCTTGCTAGTAGGAGTACATCTGGAGCTGAACATGCATGCTACTCTAAACAATGAGGTTTTGTTAACTCGGGTTATGATTTTCTTCCCTCAAAGGGTAGTTCCTGTAGTCATTAAAACCTAGCAGGAAAAACAAAACTAATCATGGTAACAGCCTAATAATATTTTTTTTTTTTTCTTTTTCTTTATTAAAAAAAGTCTTTTCCCAGAACTTAGTTTTACTATAGGGTGATTCCTCACAAATATCCATTTAATATTACATCCATGACGTGGATAAAATTCTATTCTAACTTGTAAATAAATTGTCAACATTAATATTTTAATATTAATAGGTTACATAGAGTAATTTCTACTAAACTTGTCCTTAATCTCAGGCATTTTGTTTGCCAGTTTGAGTCTAAATGTCACAGCCATAATGCAGGAATTGCCCCATATTAGATCATGGAAAAATTTTGTACTCATTTTCTGACATTTCTGTCTTAGTTATAATATAGGCAATACAAGGTCATTTTTAATTTCTTTACAGTTGTCATTCTATCTAATTTTGATTCTAACATTTTCTAGTTAAGAAAAGATCAGAAAAACAGAATCTGAATTGATGGCATTTGTTTTCCAGCCTTACGGACCTTGTTTTACCAGTGTTTTTGCTCTAGAAGTTCTCCAGAGGCGAATTCAGTTCCCTGGTGCATCCTACCCTGGAATAGCACTGAAGGTGGTCACTTTAGGGACATCAGGACTGCGTGGAGGCACCATTGTGTCTTACCAATTGGCACCTACCCCACATTCATCTTAAATTTAGGTTCTTGTTGAAATCTATGGTTGAGCTTCTCATGTTTGCTCTTAAGAGGATGTGTAAAACGTCTTTGTTAGGGGTCTTTGGATATGAATTATTCTCAAATGCTGAGAATTTAGGTCACGCTAGATAGTGTGCAGCAGATGTCCACATGGTTTGAAGGCCTCTGACGTAGAACAGGGATTTGGTATTGCCTGGTGTATCCAGGCTTGCATTGAGTTAGGTGTACTGGCTTCAGATGCCTTTCACAGCAGCAGCCTTCCAGGCAGGCAGAGTCCCTCTCACGGCCCACAAGGGAGCCCTGTCCTCAGACTTGCTCTGCTCAGCGTGTTTCTGGGCCCTCTGAGCTGCTGGCTTGGCAACCACTCCTTAGGATGCAAAGAGCTGCCTGTGTGCCCTATTCATGTTCTCCTAACTGCAATTTTGTTGAGTGGTACAATTAATTATGGCATGCCTCTTAATTTTTCGTTGCAAGTCAGATTTTAAGTCGAGTTTTCCCCACATGGTATCGGTATCAAGGCACAGTATGGTCTTTGAGCAGTTTGGAGGGGAAAATCGTAGTCATGCTTGAGTTTGTTGACATTTTATGAGAGTATCAGTTTATCGCATCTGGCAAATGCACCGTTAAGATTTTCATTGCTTGTAGCTCTCAGTACTTAAGCAGAATTCATCTGGTAATATAGCTGTGAAGGAGAATTAAAGGTAAAACTTCAATTAGGAATATTTAGAAATTTTGTTCTAGCTGTACTAACAAATTAGCCTGTCTGAGAGCTTTAGACATAGACACTGAAATAACTAATTTGGACAGGTAAATGGTAGACACTGATCTGGAGGTGCTCTTGAGGTAGCCTGCGGTAATGGCCTCATGCAGTACTTCTGCAAGCTGAGGTTCCCACTGACACAATGTGGGCCCTGTTTTCTCCCCCTCTCCTCTCCCCCATGGACTGCATCATCGGCCTGTGAGGAATGGCTTCACTGCCTCTGTCTGCATGCAACACTGCTCCCCATTCAAATGTATGGCAGCCACTTTAATCTGCCCCAAGCCAAGGGTTCCTTAGTCTAGAGAATGCAGTGCCAGAAGGTTATTAATCATGGTGGATACAAAGCACTCCTCTTCTGCTTGTTGTTCTTGTCTAATACAACAGCAGTATTGTCTTGTTGCTTAAGTGTGTCTTAACTTCATTTTCTGTTGAACTGTTAAGTTTTTTGATTTTGTTCTGTTTGTTTATTTGTTTTGCGCTCTCTCTGCATTAAACACAATATGAATTGTCCAGATGATGGTGGCGGCGATAATGGTATAATGGTGGTGATACTGGTAGATTGGATTGTTGTGTTTTATACGGGTGAAGTGCTGCAAGTTATGGTTTCTGTTCCGCGTCAGTTTTTCATGCTGGCCTTTTTAAAACTACTTTTTGAAATGCTGTTTGCTAAAAGGAAACCATGGAGCCCTGATGTGGCTTTGCAGTCTCAACTGTAACTTCTGCTTTATTTTTATTCTTCATACCTTCTTTAATTAAATAAACCAAAATACTAAAATGGCCTGTTGTAAGTAATACCACTTGGTATCGTTTTATTTTGCTTCATTTTTGCAGGCATTTGGCAACGCAAAGACGGCCCACAACAACAACTCCAGCCGATTTGGGAAGTTCATCCAAGTTAACTATCTGGAGAGCGGTATAGTAAGGGGGTGAGTGATCTGTTAACGCCATCTCCTCTCTGCAGCTCACATCTCAGCTCTATTTCCATTTATGTTCTTTATAATCAGGCATATAATCGCTTTTTCTGAATGCATGATCTTGACTGTTATTCAGAATGACACAACACTAACTAATATGTAATTGGGCAAATATTTAATCATTGTGCCTGTAGCAGAGCAGGGTCAATAAAGGCACTCGTGGTCAACATATTGATCAAAAATGGAAATCGTATGCTTTCTGCATCTCTGTAATAAAGAGCGGCACATCCTGCACGCCGGCCAGTGCGTGAGACCAACCACAAATGGGAACAGAAAACTAGGACTCTTTTATAACAAAGCTAAACCAAGAATGAATGTAGTTCACGGAGTTAACGGTCTAATGGAGTTCATCACAGCAACTTGTTCAAATATGACTAACACACCACTCCTCATTTTCACTTTGAACTTTAATAATTCTGTAGTACGGGCTGACAGTCGCTTATTGCATCAAAGTGAAAAAAACATTTGAACGTTTGACAGGCTTAGACATGCGTTTTGTTAATGTTGTAGGAGTACTAACATACTTCTAACTTCCAGAAATTATTTTACCCAACCCTTTGCCATCAGATCGGGCACTGATTTCACTTTTTCTTTATATCCTTTTCCAGAGCTGTTGTTGAAAAATACCTTCTGGAGAAGTCTCGTCTTGTCTCCAGAGAGAAAAATGAAAGGTAAAGGGGGGAAAAAAAAGCTCAGGGAGATGAGAATGCCCCTCCCCCAGCCGTTTGACATCTCATAAACTCATGCTGCTGTTATTCACAGCTTTCTCTTGCATTATAGGGATATGAAACCAAGTTCATGAAGCCTGTTGGCTACTGTCAGAGCCCCCAGTCTGTTGTGTAATGTCTGCAGTGTAGGTTTTTCCTGTAATATTCTCCATATCAGCTGCTAATTAATCTCTCTGGTGTAGAGATTTCGCTTGTGTGGTTTTTAAATATGGTGAATATTAAAATAAATTCAAAACTACTTCTGTAAACTGTTCATTGATGCATGTAGAGCTAGTGTCCCATAACATGGGTATACACCAGTCAGTGAGTGAGCAGACACTTTCCCCCCACAAGAACCTTTCTCAGGAACCGGGGACTTCAGTCAGGTTCCTACTGCACAAATTCAGCCCTATTGTAGGTCCTCGGTGGCAGTGAAACGTTTTTAGTCCCTAATCTGGAGTAGGTACTTTTCTCTTGACCAAGAATTACTGGGGAGACACTTAGAGCGATAGTTTGGTTGGTTGACACTTATAGCGATAGCTTGCTGTTTGGTTTATGGCAAGCACTGACACTAACTTGGAAGTTACCCAGAAGTACATGCATCATCACTTCCAGGTCTTTGAGTGTCTGCAGCATCTGCCACACCTGCCTGCTGCTATGACATGCATTTTTGCTTTGTTACACACTACAAGTCATGGAATGGAGCTAATATGGATTAAAGTTGCACATCTCTCAGTGCAGGAAACCAACAAAAAAACAAACAAACAAACCTCTCATCTGGTCTCTCCACTAAAGGAACTATCATGTGTTTTACTACCTGCTGATTGGAGCATCGGAAGAGGAGCGAAAAGAGTTCAGACTTCTGCAGCCTGAAGAATACTTCTACCTCAAACAGGTAGGCTGCCACATTTTAAAGAAGATGACATCACTGCATTAAAACACAAAGCACTTGGTGACGGCAGCTTCTTTCATTTCCTCCCTGCCTCCGCTTGCAGCAAAACTTTAAGATAGAGGATGAGGAGGACCTGCGGCATGATTTCGAGCGGCTGCAGCAGGCCATGGAGATGGTGGGCTTCCTGCCTGCTACCAAGAAGCAGTGAGTGCTCTGGTCGCTGGGCCTCCGTGTCACGTCACTTTCACAGCAGATGGATTTTGAGAACGCTAAAGAGTGTGTGTGTGTGTGTGTGTGTGTGTGTGTGTGTGTGTGTGTGTATCCTGTTAGTCAGTTTCCTGTTTCTTATTGAAATAAGGGTGGGGTGTGTCTGCCGGTTTTGACTCAGAAGGTCATCAGTACAAATCCTGTGGTCGGCAGAGTGATTTCATTGTCGGGCCCTTAAGCGCATTTGCTCCGGGGACACTGTCTGCCATGCATTCCATTCCTTACTTTTGATATAAAAAAAAAAGTCCTAAATAAATGTAATATAACGTAAATGAAACATCCCATCCAACCCAGCACCCACACTGCATTTCTGTAATGGTGTTTAAACACTCAGGTAAATGCATTTGTTTGATAAATGCAATGAATTTATTGTTATACCTATGAGGTATATGAGTCTTCAGGGTCTGAGTATTTTCAAAGCTAGTCTGAAAACGCACCTTTTCCACATTGCATATAATAATGTACAATAATCAGTTCTATTATTCATAGGGGATAGCGGTTAGTGTCCCTGATGAGGTAGGGGCCAGTCACGTGTATCATGAGTAGGAGGGTTCGCGTCCCTTCTTCATTGACATTGACTTGGGGGGTCCCCCCCCAATACTCTGGGGTTTGGGTCCCAGTGTGGCAGGGGTTTGTGTCCCGTTGTATGAGGACTAGAGAAGGTGGTTCCCTACAGAAACCAGTGCAGGTGGTTTAAAGTCCCCTACCGAGAACATGGTTAAAGTCCAGCGTTGTTGTTTATTATTAATTTATTTTTAAGAAACTGATTTTGTATTTTTATTTTTTATTCCTTTCTCTTAAACGTCTCTAAAGCACTTTATTTTGCACCCTGTTGTTAAAATGGTGCTATATAAATAAAGATTGACTGATTGTGGACTTAAGCTCTTCAGAATTACCTAGCCACCATATTGTTAGTGTCTAACAGTAGTATACTCCACAGGATTTTCTCAGTACTGTCAGCAATACTATACCTGGGAAACGTGACATACAAGCTCAAGTCAACAGGCAGGGAGGAGGGCCTGGATGTGGGACCTCCTGAGGTTCTTGCCACGCTTTCGGACCTCCTCAAGGTAGTTTTTTAACCATTAAACGTAATTTATCAGTCTATAAAAAGTTTGTTTGAGGTTAGACCATGAAGTTAGATCACTCGATGTTTCAGTGTTTGAATGTTCAATAGTTGGCAACCAAGATTTTCCCATATTTAATCAGGTACAGGTTCATTTGTGTGGATCGTGTTACCCAATACAGTTTTGAGTGTTGTATACTTGACATTGGTCTTTCACAGGTTAAAGAGGAAGAATTAGTGGAAGCTTTAACGAAGAGGAAAACGGTGACTGTAAATGACAAGCTGATCTTGCCCTACAGCCATAGTGAAGTATGTGTCATCAAAGGTGTATCTAGTCATAGAAAGAATGTTGCTTCCCTGTTAACCGCAGAGCTAACTGGCCTTTTCCTGACGCTTCCCAAGGCTATTACAGCTCGGGACTCCATGGCCAAGTCTCTGTACAGTGCCCTCTTTGACTGGATCGTCCTCAGAATTAACCATGCGCTGCTGAACAAGAAAGACATGGAGGAGTCTGTCAAGGTGGGATGCTGTTAATTCGGTTCTGGAATCCTGCAGACCTATTGCAGAGCTGATTACCCAGTAACCTCTCTGGTCTCATAGCATCAGGAGCTGAATAAGACGGTGGTGATGAAATGTGATGTTTTTAATTCTCACCTTCTAAATAGTTGATTGTTCTTGTTCTTCAGTGTTTGTCAATAGGCGTCCTTGATATATTTGGATTTGAAGACTTTAAGACCAACAGTTTTGAACAGTTCTGCATCAACTATGCCAATGAGCAGCTTCAGTATTACTTCAACCAACACATCTTCAAACTTGAGCAGGTGGGTTTGTTTTCATGATGCAGAACCGTCGCAATATGACCGTGCAAGATTTTAACCTAGATCCACAGATGCACGCTTCTTATGCTTAGTAATTTGAGGAGCTGTTCAGGAGTTTGTGTTTCTCTTGCAGGAAGAGTACCAGGCAGAAGGAATCACCTGGCATAATATCGATTACACAGACAATGTGGGCTGCATACAGCTGATCAGTAAAAAGCCAACAGGGCTTTTCTATCTGTTGGATGAGGAGAGCAAGTAAGTTTGTATTTCAGACTGGGACTTGCGGCTCCACTTGGTTGCAGGTGGGAAATTTTTCCATCGTGCTTCTCTCTCCCTGTCTGTCGGTGTCAGCTTCCCTCGCGCTACGGACGAAACTCTGCTGGCCAAGTTCAAACAGCAGCATCTCAGTAACAAGTACTTTGTACCAACACCGGTCATGGAGCCTGCATTTGTCATACAGCACTTTGCCGGACACGTGAAGTATCACATCAAGGTGAGATGGTGACTTCTAACGGAAAAAGTGAAAGCGTGTTTTAAGGATGTGCTAAAATTTCAGTACTTTGGGAAGCAGAACCAAATGACCTTTGCAAGGGCACCATCAATGCAAGTATGATTTGTAACTGCAGCTTTGGGTGGAGATCATGAGCTGTATTTTAGCAAAAGATACATAAGACGGTAAAGAGTCCAAATGTAGCCTAATCAGCGTCATGGGCTGTTACCTATGAAAACTGCCAAAACCCCACTAACTGCACGTCTAAAGGCCAATTCGTATGTCTTTTTTCCACGTGCACTTTTGGTTGCAACGAGGGTGAGTGACGTGAAATTGGTCATCAGGGGCTGGTTGCGGACGGCTGCGGTCGTTGAGTGTGTAGCCCAGATTTCTATGTCTAATGGAAACCATGCGCATCAATGTTCATCAACCACGTCTGTAGGGGGCAGTAGGTGCCAGCGCTGACTTTCACAGCTCAGCAGTCAATGATTAAAGAGTAGAAGATTATTAACTGTCCGTAGTAGTTATGGTGAGCAGCTATATGAGGACGGTTAAAGGTCCCGGCTAATTTTGTTGTAAGGATTTAAAAATACTGTGGTATGCCTTATTACTGTAATGCCGCCCAAGCCTTAACTAATAACTGTTCTTAAAACTTTATCTGTTTCACTACACGGCTTGTATTTATTTTGATACAATACTTGTGCCCTCCAATGTTCTGGTGGAACATCACTGCTGTATGCGGCAGTGACCGTGACCATCTGCACCCGCTGCCAAATGTAGCATGAACACAAGGTGCCACGTAGACGACCGTCCGCAGCCCGAAAGCGCCTCCGGAACTTAACCTTGCTCTTTTGAAAATGTAAGGATTTCCGGGAGAAGAATACCGACTACATGCGGCCCGACATTGTGGCACTCCTGCGCAGCAGTGACCGGGCGTACCTGCGGCAGCTAATCGGCATGGACCCGGTGGCCATGTTCCGCTGGGGCGTCCTCCGTGCCACCATCCGTGCCATGGCTGCCTTCAATGAAGCGGCCCGTCGCTGGGCGGCTAAGACTGCAGGTACCAAATACAGAACACCAGCACTGGTCAAAAATCTGGAGTTTACTGTGTCAGTTCAGTAGACTTTGTTCTTAATGGATTTTGGGGATGAGGATGAGACTCAGAAACAGATGCTGTCTGTGACCTGCAGGTGTGATCAGAGGCAGCTCTCGATCTCCACTGATGGAGCTACAGAGGGCCAACACTTCCACTGAGAAGATATACCGGTGAGACTGCAATGCAGGACTCGAAGCTGGACAGTGTGACTAGATAGCAGTCATGGGGCCGATCCTTCTGTGTTATGGTTGTCGTCTTTTGAGGAGCTCTCTAGAACGACAGTCTTTGGCCCTTTTGTTCATAGGTTTGACTTTTATAATATAAAGTAGCAAATAAGACTTGTAGGTAAGTGGCCTCACAAAAAGATCTAATGATGCACTGATTTTATACAGTAATGAAAATTATTTCTTAATGTTAACATTTTTATCTGTATGTTTGGGGCCTGGGTATTTGTGTGACACTGCCCTGGGTATTTGTGCGACACTGCCCTGGGTATTTGTGCGACACTGCCCTGGGTATTTGTGCGACACTGCCCTGGGTATTTGTGCGACACTGAGTCCCCGCTGAGCTGCCGGAGCCGTGGTTTCCTGTACCGGGTTTGTGACGGGCGCCTGATTGAGGCTTCTGGCCTTCTTGTTCTTCACAGCCGTGGCTCTTTGCTTGATTTCTCCTTTGATCATTCTGAAGAGCGCCCACTAGAGGTCTTTGAGGACATCTTTGCTAGTTATGAGAGTAAGAAGTAAGTGGGTTGTAGGCAGGAAGGTGGGGGTCCAAGCAGGGGTGAGGCCAACACTTTTTGGGCAGTGATGAATCTTATAACCTTTTGGGCGTGCTCAAACTAGCTGATTTACGTCTGTGCGAATGCGCTTGTAGGTCCTAACAACAGGAGGCTATAATGGCCGGCTGGTAGTGGTCAGCTGGGAGCAGGGACAGGGGAAAAGTGACTTCAAAGGAAGAGAGCAGGCAGCACAGCTAGTGAAATTGTTTTAAGTTAATTTACTAAAAATTTCCATCTGAGGGAAAAAAAAAAATTAAAGCCTGTAATCGGCTGCACAGATGCAACGTTTGTTTGGAAATTTTGTGGATAAGGAATGCAACAATAAACAGGTAAATGCAAGCCTATGGTATGTTTTGTGCGCTTGCCCCGAGGTTAAAAATAACAGAGCGATAGGAGAGACTTTTACCTTCCTCTCTAAGGAGGTTTTACTTTCAGACCAGGCTTGCTCTTTGGTGAAAACACCACCGTTTGTCACCGTTTAAATGCTTTTTAAAATTCATGATAATTGAGATGTACAGGTGTACTGGTAATTCCTGGAGAAGCAGGAGATTACGGATGAGTTGCTGGTTTAGAGAGCCGCAGCTGTTTGAGCACTCCCAAAAGATTTAGGGGTGTTTGGTGCCAATGCCCCCCCCCTGCATCACATGGCTCCCCCATGCTGACCCCTGCTTGTCCCCTCTTTGTGTTGAGCTGTATGGTAAGTACAGCGATGCATGGAAACGGTACAGAGCACAAGCATGGAAGAGCCGGTTCACTGTCCACCTACAGTACAGACTTGCATGTCCACTATTCTCGTGGGAGGCCAGTATGAAGGGATTAACATCCTCATTTCCTAAGTACTTACAATTCCATGTCTTTATCCACAAGTAGCATGGCTAGGTGGTCAGTATCCAGGGATGGCTGTAAATGACTCGTGACCAAAAGCTGATCGATAACTGGGCATTTTCATGCACATCTAAAAAATGCAGTGCAGACCTCGAGTCGTGTCTTTATCGGAGCCTGCTGACCCCTGGCCATCCAGCTTGTTTCCCTTGGCGCTGAGGCTTTCGGGCCCTTGGGCCGAGTCGTCTGTCCCTCTCTGGGTGGCTTTAATCGTTTCTTTTTGTGGATTCCTGTGCCTCACTCTCCCTTTCCGCGTGTTCCTTCACGCCGCCGCCCACCCTGCACCTCCGATTGGGTTGCCTCAGGGACATGCATGCCCAAATCATCAGCTCGATAAAGGACTTGCAGCTGGACGGCGAAGACCCTCGCAAGCTGCTGCAGTCCTGCGGTCGCCTGCGGTTCCCTCGCCACGTCCTGCAGTGAGTTTGATTCCCCTCCACCGCGGCTGGCCAGTTTGCTCCAGCCAGCCTGCCCTTGGCTTCCTCTTTGGAGCCGTGACAGCCTCAAACGTTCTATAGGGCAGCATTTCGGGTCGGATGTGTTCTGCGTGCTCGTGTAGTGTTCTCACGTTTTCCATTCAGATGTTGCAGCACAGCCAATGGCGCATGGAGACATTAATTATAGGTCTAAACTTATCCCTCTTCACCGCAAGCAGCCTCACTAGTGCACTGCAAATTGCACCCAATTAACTCCAAGAATCTCGGCGATCTGCAAGGGGTGCACATGAATGGCGGCGCAGGCTTTAGCGCTTTCCCCATGCTCTTCTCTGTTTGCGTCAGTGGAAGCCAGCATGGCTTGTGTTAGCCAGCTGCTGCACTCTTCCTGTAAAAGTTTGTGCATGCATCAGTGCATGCATGTCTTAGGTGCAAGTTTTTGCATAACTGGAAAAGCATGACTGAAGCAGTTTCTAGGGCAGCTTTTGAATCCCTTGCAGTCTTCACAAATCTGCATTCCCACATATTGGCTTCCCCCATACCAGTTCCCGCTCTTGCAGGGCTGTTATGTTCATTGGCTGTAATTAAGGTTGTACCTGAACATCGTCTTTTTTGTAGACTGTGCTTAAGCCTAAGCGTTAGAGCTAATAAGGTAGAGTAGGTTCCTTGGCTGCCTAAGCAGGGCTGGCTGGACAAATGTCTCCACTTCCTCTATCCCCCTACCAACCGTCTTATTCCTTTCTGCTCAGTGTAATTCTGTCTCACGACATGAAATGTGTGCATGACTCACCGTAACATTCCACAATCCCCATTACTCAGACCAAAACTTCTCAATGCTCTCTTCCCCTACAGGAAAAATAAGAACATCAGGCAGAAGCAGATCATTCCTAAGGTAACCCCCCCCGCCCCCGCTGTCTCTACCCGAAGCCCTGCTTCACTGCCACCAGAGCCCATACCAGCGTTTCAGGATCCTTCATCTCCTGCTGACTCTGGGCTTTTCCCGTCCTCCCCCCTGTCTTTTGGCAGAGCCTCATCGACTCCCGTTCCCTTAAGTTCATAGTGGGTCTCACCCTTCATGATCGCACCACCAAATCTCTGCTGCACCTGCATAAGAAGAAGAAGCCGCCCAGCATCAGTGCCCAGTTCCAGGTCTGCTCTCTCGCCAAGGATGCTGTTCTGATTTTACGTTTGAGACACTTTCCCCCAAACTTCTCCAGATTTTCATATAAATTCACTCCAACAGCTTATCGTGTAAAGAGTGGCTTAGTTGGGCCTGGAGCCTATCCCAGGCAGCACAAAGCACAAGGAAGGGGGACGACCTGGATGCACTAGGCACACACACGTGTGAATGCGCTGCAGAGAACGCACACGTGCAAAGAAGTCACACACTACGCACAATTTAGAGACCCCTGTGTAACTGTGGGAGAAAAGTGGAGTTCCTGGTGGAAACCCAGAACAGAAACTACACATGTGAAGTTGGGATTCAAACCCATAACCCTGGAAGTGTGAGGAGAGAGTGCTGCTCACTGATCCCCTCTAAAATTCAAACTCATCAGCCTGTTTTATGCAAATCCTGAATAATTCTAAGGCTGTGCCTGATGCATGTGGCGTGTGGAGCTGCACGCCTGAGTTCCTGCCGTGTCCTCTGTCCCCTAGACGTCCTTGAGCAAGTTGCTGGAGACCCTGGGAAAAGCAGAGCCCTTTTTCATCCGCTGCATTCGCTCCAATTCCGAGAAGGTAGAGCGTCAGACGTCTTGGCACGCCGTGCCCCAAGAAGAGCGTCAGCTTTGTGCGCTGACCAGCGTGTTTGTCTGGCTATAGATGGAGATGCATTTCGACGAGGCCCTAGTCATGCAGCAGCTGCGGTATACAGGCATGCTGGAGACCGTGCGCATCCGCAGGTCCGGTTATGGTGCAAAGTACACATTCCAGGTGGGTGGGTACTGTCAGCTGTGTGTTGGAGAGGTGGTCCCACCGTATCATGCGTTTCACAGCCCCTGTATGTCAACAAGTGCAGCATTGCGCTAACAACAGAAAGGTTGTGGGTTCAAATCCCAGGGAGCATGCATAAATTGATTCCATTCCTGCTTCTGTAAGTCACTTTGCAGATAAAATGTCATTTTAATGTAAAATTCATTTGACAGTCTTTCCTTCCACTTTTGTTTTTTTTAAAGGAATTTGTTGCACAGTTCAGAGTTCTGCTGCCGAAGAATGCTGCACCTTCTCGAGAGACCATATCAGCTCTGTTGCAGAGGATTGTGTCTGATGGTACCACCTACCAGATCGGCAAATCTAAGGTAACTGAGTTTCGGTTTGTCTGCATGATCGTGCTCCTATGGGCCGCTGATGGGGGGATTACACTGAGAGCCGCCTTCCCCGTCCTGCTGTGTCTAGGTGTTTCTGAAGGAACCAGTACGGCAGCAACTCCATGACACCCTGCACAAGGAGGTCATGCGGAAGATCGTCTTTCTGCAATGTTGGTACCGTGCCCGTTTCGACAGACGGCACTTCCTGGCTATGAGAGAGGCGGCAGTTACGATTCAGGTACTGCTGTTCTAAGGAGCTGATGCCTGTTTCTGCACAGGCTGGAACTGGCACCAAGAGTCTGAGGTCGGTTCTGGCCGTGCATCGTGTTAAGTGAATGCTGCTTGACCCGTTTGTTCACGGCACAGCGATGCTGGCGCTGCTTCCGTGAGGTGCAGCACTTCCAGGCTGCGTCTCTGATCCAGGCTGCGTGGCGGGGCCACAGGCAGAGAGCCCACTACCTCCAGCAGCTGGACACCATTAAGAAGATGCAGGCCTTAGTGCGGGGCAACTCCACCAGGAGGAGGTACTACCGTCAGCACCTGCTCAAGTGCTTCTTCGAAAATACACCATTCATCACAACAGTTGCCTCTTTCAACTCTTCAGAAATTGTCGGTCTTTACAGACAATTTTGCGTGTGTTTTTAATTTAATTTTATTACTTTTCTTTAACCTTGGTCTGCCCAGGAATCTGCTTTCCCATTGTAGAAGCTTATTCAGTTATGTGCTTTGTGGTAGGTAGCAGACAGTCTGTAACCCATTGAATGTTATAACCCAGTAGACCAGGGTCATTGTGCGTTTCGCGTGTATTTGGGGAAATTCCAACCATGATTGACTTTTTTTAGGGTCCAGACCATGAAGGATAAGAGGCGAATGGAGAAGGAGGCCGCCAGGAGGAGGGCAGAGGAGGAGGCCGCCGCCAGGAGGAGGGCAGAGGAGGAGGCCGCCGCCAGGAGGAGGGCAGAGGAGGAGGAGGCCGCCAGGAGGAGGGCAGAGGAGGTGGAGGCCACCAGGAGGAGGGCAGAGGAGGAGGCCGCCAGGAGGGTAGAGGAGGAGGAGGAGGCCACCAGGAGGAGGGTAGAGGAGGAGGAGGCCACCAGGAGGAGGGCAGAGGAGGTGGAGGCTGCCAGGAGGAGGGCAGAGGAGGTGGAGGCCGCCAGGAGGAGGGCAGAGGAGGTGGAGGCTGCGGAGAAGCAAAAGAGTAAAGAAAGAAAGGATAAACCTGAGCTGAGTTTTGAGCGCATGATGCAGGCTGTGCCGGTTTGTACCAGTGAAGAGAGCAGGGAGGCGCAGCAGAGGGACAGCACTCCGCTCCTGGCTGGGGAGGTGGCTGGCCAGGCCGGGAGCTCCAGATCTGTCATTTTTGATGATAGTGAGGAAAGCGGAACTGCTGTGCAGCCAGAGGAGGTGATGACCGAGGCAGGTCCAGCACAGCCGCATGGAGAGAGACCTAGGGCTCCCCGGCTACACAAATCTCCTGTGTCCAGGAGTCAGGAAAAACGGGAGCTGAGGCGGCAGCGTGGCCTGGAACACAGTCAGCGGGAGTGCCAGCGGGCCGCCTCAGCCAGCAAGGAGGAGCAGGCGACGAGTCCCAAAGGCACTGAGCCGGCTGCAGGCACCGAAGGCAAGCCCAAGGACAGCAAGGAGCTGGACCAGTACACATTTGTCGAGTGGAAGGTGAAAGAGGAGAAAGGGAAGAAGGAGGCCAAGACGTCCACTTCCCCCCAGAGCCGCCCGAACACGCTGCCTTTAGACCTCCCCGGCCATAAGCCCAGCCGTAACGGCCACCAGGGCCCCCCCAACCCCCCCCTCACTGGCTCCCTGCATCGCGGCACCAAGCTCTTTTCTGCAAAGATTGACCAGCACAAGGAGAAGCAGCCTGAGGCCGCCCCCCCGGACAGCTCTCCCCACCAGCAGAGAGTGGCTAAGACCTTACCGTACGCCTCCCCGTGATGTCGCCCCTGTCTGTAGTCGCCCCTGTCTGTAGTCGCCCCTGTCTGTAGTCGCCCCTGTCTGTAGTCGCCCCTGTCTGTAGTCGCCCCTGTCTGTAGTCGCCCCTGTCTCTCTTCCTTGCCCTTCTTGGTACCCTTTAGTCTTGCTGTTTTTCCTGCTTTATTTTCCTATTCAGTTCAACATCCATGCCACTTTTTATAGCAAGTTTTTTTTTTTTTTTTTTTCTCTCAAATTTTTTCACTTTCAAAGTCTGAAAATTGAATGTTTTGTTTCACTTTGTTCAATGTTTAAATATAACTCCAAATAGATACTGTGAAGATTCAACAGTGCAAATTCATCACCCCCATGTCTTTCAGGAATATGCGAACATCTGCATCATCGGATAATATTGCCATCTCCCCTGGATTTGACAGTCCCAGTACTTCAACAAAAGAGGTTTGTTCCAAATATTTCTAGTCCTGCCTCCATTTTTTTTAAAAATTTTTTGGAGAATGACTCTTTTTAAGTCCCCTAGTTGCATTAAGTCCCTGGGTGCTCGTGCTGCTCTTAGCACTGTCAGTGGGTCGGGCTGAGATCACTGTCCACATGCTTGTGAATGGAGTGTGGCATTTTGGTACCGAAACGGGGGCAGCGGGGCTCGCTAAGGCACGTAAAAGTGCAGAGAGGGGGGACACGAGCACTGGATCTTCCCTCTTCCATCACTTAGCTGTGTTGGGTGTCAGTGCCCCAGCTTAGGTACAGCCCGCAGAGAAACGCCAAAGATGGGTTTGGAGCAAGACGGGATTCCAGTTAAATCCCAAAAGTGCAAATGCTCAGGGCCGCTTCCTGCCACACAGACCAAGACAGCGGAATGTGCCCCTAGAAAATCCAGCCCTGCACCAGTGGCCAATCGTCCCGTGGTGACTAAAACTAAATCAGACCCTCTCCTTTTTCTTTTACATATACAGGAACCCAGTTCAGTTTCATTAGTGGTGAAACCTCTCAGCAGAGTGTTACTCTGATTAGTGTACAAAGCCCCGAAGCTTTTTACCCTGCTGGCCAGTTTACATCATAAAGAGAAACTGCAGCAAACGCCGTGTGGTCATGGGCTTCTGCTTTGTTTCTGCTGATTTTTATAATTTATCAGCTCTTCAGTGGCCTCATATCTGCACTGATTGCTGTGAGAATGTTTCTGCCGCATGTAACGCCAGAGTAACTCAAACGATTGCCTGACTGTGGTTAAACAACAAAATACAGTGGCTCTAAACTTTGGGTCAATATTTAACGGCAACAAAAAAGTCTGTGCACAAAGGAGAAGGCAGGGGCTCAAACACGCATCTACCAGTCTAACCAGTCAGGCAACAGTCTGGTGGTGGTGGTGATGGTGACAGTGTCTCCTTGTGGGATTTTTGTAACTGAAGGTGGTGTCCAGTGTGTGTATGAAGCTGACTGGGGCTGTTTGTCATTGGCCTGAGGCAGGAATGGGAAAACTAATGGGCTCCAGGCTCTGAGTGGTTCTTTTATTTTGAAGATGGACACCCCTGCTAATTATGGCTAATCCAGCTGTCTTCCTTATTCTTTGTTTATAAGTCACATGAGGTTTACCTCCCCCATGTTAACAAATTACATTCCGGTAATTTCTCTTTTAGGCTCAGTCCATTGCAGAGACTTGCACTCCAGACTCGAAGGTCAGCACCCTCAAGCGGCGATCTAACGACATCTTGGTTAATCAAGACGTCCATCCCCAACCGCCAACCCCTGAAAAGTAGGCTTTGTTCCCTTTTGGTCAGTAATGTGATGGTTGTAAAAAGGCCTGACCGTCAGCTTAAAGCTTCGCGGCTAATAACACTCGTCTACTTTGGAGATTTTTGCCGCTGATGAGTGAAAGCCGATTGTTCAGTTTAGAAAAACCAACTCCAGGATGTTTTGAAATACTTGTTGCCATAGACATGTCTTACAGAATCACATGGATAATATTCCTCCTGTTGTGATGAAGTTTCAGAACTACCTATTCCCATATATAGTGACAAATTCAGACTTGGGGGCGGGAGATTACGCTCACTTTTTATTTTTTTTTCTTTCCCAAAACCTTTGGCCCAGTTTTGGTCTCCGAGTAGCTTTGCAGTTCTGATAGTGATTAGTCTGAATTTTAAAGGTACAGTTAGCTCTTCATTTTGTTTTGTTTTTGCATATTTATTTTAAACTGCAATCCAAGCTTCATCATTAGGAAATAATATAGTATGTAATTGTATTTTGATATCTGTAAGTATCCTGGATTAATAGTTTAGTTTTGCTTGAAAATAGACTTTCCCTCCTCTTGGACTGAGAAAGCCGTTAGTTATGTGTGAGATGTGCTGACTCTGTGTGTGTTTGTGCTACAGATCAGGATTTCTGAGCAAGATCCTGAGGAAACGTCCACCTAAGGAAGTGCAGACACCAGACGAGGAGCCGTCTGCCGCACAGGCCCTTGCTGAGAGGGGGGGTGAAGGTAACCACAGGGGAGGGCCTCTGGTGGCTTCTTGCAGGCATCTTCGTGTGCATGATGTGGCTGTCTGTGACCTGAGATCGCCTCCCTTATGCACTGGCTGAATGCTTCCATCTAGTGGCCGTTAGGTGCATCTTTAATCTGATTGGATGTCAGCAAGGCAGTACATCAGCTGCAAAGTCAACACCAAGCTGAACAACAGCAGAAATTGCAACATCGGCTATAATTTCCATAATTTGCTATTTTGATTCGTCTGGCTGGCACTAAATGTGTGGTTATAGAAAAATGATTGAGCATTGGAGAATTCCACAGAGCAGTTGTATGAAAGTGCTTCACTTGGACCATTAATGGCAGGAAAAGGCAGTGCTTGTATGTCAGACCCATGTGCTCATGTACATCCACAGCCGCCTCCCAGTCTCAGCCATCCCGCTCCCACCACCACCACCACCACGCTGAGGCTTCCAGCGGCAGGCTACGCCGGAACCCCACCATCAAGATCAGTCGCGCCACCAGGGTCTCCGAGCAGTGGAACGACTCTATAGACCACAAGATCAACAATGCCAATGAGCTGCGGCAGCTGGATGAGTTCCTGGGCAATCAGGTTCCACAGCTACACCCATTTTAGCGGAATAGAGAAAAATCACCCTAATTTTATGCACAGCCAGAGAATAACCAGCCGCGATCCTGGTCGTCTTGCAGGTGAATGACCTGCGTTCCAGGGGGAAGCAGCTATCAGCAACGGAGCAGATCTTCATCACTGCCACCATGCAGTTCAGAGAAAACATTAAGGGCATGTACACACTCTCGGTAGGTGTGCCCGCGCCGGGGCCCACAGTGCGAAGATCATCTCTAACGGCATTCTCGTCCACTCCATCGCAGTCTTGAGTGTTAGACATGGCGAGATGCACATTGTCTTCTCTCTGCGGTATCTGACAGAAACCCCACATAGGCTACAAAGGACTGATGACGGGCTACCAGAATAAGGTCATCGCTCTGGCTGGAGAGAAGCAGAAGTCCGAGGTCCAGCTTGTTATCAACTTATTCCAGTCTGTTCTGGATATATTCATCCGCGGAGAGATTAAGAAGGAGGAGGAGCCAGCCAAGGTAATTCGTAAGATTGCGGGAGGGATTCCGCATGGGGTGCTGTCCCACTGTCCCGTCGCACCGGGTACATGGTCTGACAGAATGTGTCAGTATCGTGGTCATTTTTAATTTTTTTTAAAGTTGGAAAAGGTTGGGCTGTTCGACCGTATCGTAACACTGCAGTCACTCTGTGCAAATACACGTTTCAGCCTGCAAAATCTCGAAAGAAGAGGCGGAAGAAGGATAAATCCGTAAGTACGAGTCGAATAACCCTTAGCGTAAGACTTATTTTCGGAGCCAGTTAGCCGCCAGACCAGCTAGGTGATCAACTGACGTGACCTTAAATCTCCCCAGTTGGAGAGTCCGCTGGACCACATGTTTGACACATATCAGGTGACCATCATCCAGTCATGTGACCAATGCTGCTCCTATATCTGGGGCATGGAAAACGCCTTCATGTGCACCTGTGAGTTCTTGTAAATCCTTCTGTTTTATTGCAGCTGGTTCATTTCAGTGTCATATGCCTTCGTCTTATTCATACAATTAATCGATTAATTGATGTATTTTAAGCTTGCAAAATGGTGTGTCACAAGAAGTGCCTCAGCAAAATCACCACGGATTGCTCTTCATATTGTGCCAAGAAGGTGAGACCTGAGCGCGGTGATGTCAGTAACATACCGTTCCTTACGTTTTTAAAAGCTACATTGTCTAGATCCTGTTTCTACCTGGGGATACATTCTCACCATCTGTTACAGTCTGAAGATGAGTCCGGTTCCCAGAACTTTGCAGTGCATGTAAGCTCGCTAATCAATGACAAGAACCCGGTGCCTCTGGTGCTGGTGATGATGCTGGAGCATGTGGAGATTAACGGCCTGTACACAGAGGGCATATATCGCAAGTCGGGCGCTGCCAACCGCATGAAAGAGCTGCGGCAGCTACTGGAGACGGGTGAGGCGTTGGCAGAGTGAAGCCCGACCCGGCACCACCTTCTGTGGAGGAGCTCATGGCTGCAGACTCCTGTGTGACTTCGTTGCCGTTACCCCTCTGCAGACTGTGGCGCGGTGTGTCTGGAGGACTACCCGATTCACACGGTGACGGGCTTGGTGAAGCAGTGGCTCCGTGAGCTTCCAGAGCCCCTGATGACCTTCACACATTACAGTGACTTCCTTCATGCCGTTGGTGAGTCCATGCTCTCTCTACATGTCTCCAGGCTGACGTTGGTAGTGTAATTTTGCAGTAGAAGCTGGATTTCTCTTTATTTAGGAGGGGCTGGGGGGTCCAACTCTTTGCTGGCAGTAACTTTTACCATCACCTTCCTGTTTGTAGAATTACCTGAAAAGTCTGAACAAATACATGCTGTTTACAAAGTACTGGAACAGGTTCCACATGCAAGCTTCAGCACTTTGGAAAGACTTATCTTCCATCTTGTGAGGTAGGAACAGATATTATTAAAATTCCTGTGTGCCAGGAGATACATGAAGAAGCTTGGAGCTGAATGGTCTGTATTTGACCCCCCACCCCCATACAGAGTAGCCAAAGAGGAAGCACACAATCGTATGTCCCCCAACTCTTTGGCCATTATCTTTGCACCCTGCATCTTGCGGTGTCCCGACTCCGCTGATCCCCTGACCAGCATGAAGGACGTGGCAAAGACAACAATGTGAGTTTTTTTTTTTTTTATTCAGTCTGCTTTGACATTACCAGCCTTAAGTCTCAGATAATCAAGCTATTTGCTCTGTATGGTCATTTATACAGCATATACGCTGTATGTTATGTATATGCGTATCAAAGGAAATGATCCTGTTTCAGTTTTAACGCATTTGACTTGCTTCCATTTGGTTGTGGGTTTCTTGAAGCTGCCAGTATTGACGCTGTGTGTCGTTTCTGCCTCAGGTGTGTGGAGATGCTGATCAATGAACAGACAAAGCGGTACAACGAGAAGATAGAAGAGATCGAGCAGCTGGAGTATGCGGAGGCTTTGGCCGTCAACCAGCTCCGGAGGCAGAACACGGTAATCGATGTCCGCTCTGATCCGCCTTGTGTGCGGAGCCTTAAAGTAGTCAGTGGCTTGTCACACCCTTGTTAAACCGGATGACATTACTGTCACCCTTAAAGACGTAAGTGTGATATATGGTGTGGTGTCCTAGAACAGGGAATAGTCCTGATGTTTAGTGCCATCAGAGGTACGATTATAACATGACTAGCGGGTGTTAATGTGCAGTTAGACCGCCAGCTAATAACTGCCTTTTGAGTTGGGTACTGTGTTCTATAACTTTGTTTTGGTCCTCTCTCTCTAGTGCTGGCATTTGCCTCTCAGATTTCCCTCTCCTTACAAAGGAGTGGTGGTATGTATTGACAGTGGTCTTGGTTTAAACTGGCGTCTAGGAATCCCCCTTAAACTCAACCACAAACGCATGGCATTGGAGATGTTCTACGCCTCGTACTAATGTGTGCTGCATGACCATTGGGATTTTGCATTTGTGAGACTGAATATTTCAAGCTGATTTATACTTCTGTGCTGAATCGACGCTGTAAGTACGGCGTCGCCGAGTAGCCCGACGCTGTAGCCCGACGCTGTAGCCCGACGCTGTAGCCCGACGCTGTAGCCCGACGCTGTAGCCCGACGTGGGCCTCCCCAGAAATCTGACTATACATTGCAGCCACCCAGAACACAAGAACTGCGATTGGTCCGCATGGTAGCATTGGATTTTTATGGGGATGAAGAAAAGCGTACATCCTGGGTGTACTTATACCGCTGATGGTGTACTTATACCGCTGATGGTGTACTTATACCGCTGATGGTGTACTTATACCGCTGATGGTGTACTTATACTGCTGATTGAAACTGAAGTGTTATTTATATGTAGTATTAGATTTCTCATCCTTGGCATCATAGCGAAACACTCAAGGTGAAAGCGCTGTTGTCAGTTACCTTCATTACGTTTATTTCTACTTTACATGATTAAAAAAACAGTAAAAAAGTAGCACAGACACTAATTTTAGAAGATGCTTGAGTGATTTTGTAGTGGCTCAACATTTTTCCAAAATTGTCTGCGGGAACTTTGGAGTAGCGTAAATGTAAAAGGATTCGATAAATGGATACATTGTTAAATGTTTATATTCCTGTTTCAATTGTGTAATTCAACAATCGAATATATTGCAGGGGGGAAGACAATAAATGCAACATCCAAAACTATGTATCACCTAGCATTTTTGGCGGTGTAATTGCCGAGCAGCACAAATGCTCATGAAGGCGTAGGTCACTTGCGTAGGTGACAGCCAAGGCTCAACGCAGAAGTGTAATTCAGCCTTTAGACTGGACAACGTTTGGTGTGCCTGGTCCATTGTGGGTCTGACGTGACATTTTCAAAGCTTTTTAGGCATCATTGTGAAATGTCCTCTACTTCACTTGCGTAGAAGGTACATATATTGCATGTGTTTGTATACACACACACCATGGTTATATGTAATACCAAGTTGGTATTAGAATCGAAGCTTTTTCAAATCAGTCAAACCAGTTATAAAGTAGCGCTAAAAACTGACATGCACATATTTGTGTGGATATATTTTAACATGTTTAGAAAGTGAGGCTGGTAATTTGGCTATAAAGCTTTGAAAATAACATAACCTTGAGACAGTCTCTTCTGCATGATTGAGTTCAGTACTAGGGATTTCTTTAACAAATATGAAACCTTTAAACTCTTTATTAAAATGTCGTCATTTGGGTGAAGGGACTTGCATTTCTCAGTGTGTCTGGCTTCAGATGGTCTTGATGAGCTGCTGTGTGAGACGACACAGTGTTGAGAGGATACATGGGATTTAACTCATTTAACACACACACTAACCTATCCGTAGGGCTGGGTGCTATCACATCGATATTATATCGCGCATGTGCAATAATCACCGGGGCTTCAGATGACAGACGAAGCATTTGGCTGGATGTCAGCTTTTCGGTGCTATACGGAAATTTATTTACGCCCATAATTTGGTAAGAAGATTAGTAGTATGGCTGAAATATTAATGAGATGCGTTTTGTGATACCCAAAAGTTAATAATCTGTATAAACTTTTGTTTCTTAAATTCGATTAGCGGAGCACCCCACATAATACTGTTTTGGTATACTATGGTTTGGTATACTATGGTTTGGTATACTATGGTTTGGTATACTACGGTTTGGTATACTACGGTTTGGTATGCCTCGGTGCAATATGCACTGAAGTCCGGGTGAAGAAGAGCAGCCACGACATCTTTTAAAAGAGGAGATCTTGTGGATAAACAAGGTAAAGACGTCGGCGGTGTGGTGGTACTTTTTGCAGTTCAAAGTCTGACACATTTATTAAACATAAGGATATGCAGTATTTATACTAATAATGACTTTTGGACGTCATACAAAGCCTCATTAAGATTTTAGCCATACTACTTCTTACCAAATTATGGTTGTAAAATGTCCGTATAGCATCGAAAAACTGGCGCCTGGCCAAATGTTGCGTCTTTCATCTGAAGCCCTGCGCATGCAATATCAATATATCATCGACCCGGCCCTACCTATACGAAATACCTCTTCACAAGTCTGGCTCAGCGATGGGATCTGTAAGTGATTTTGTTTGTGTGTTTTAAGGTCCATGAGAAATTGCATTCAGATCTGCAGGCGATCCCTGAGAATCTGCCTACCGATTCAGACAGAGAGGCAGAGAAGAATCTTATGGAGCGCATTAAATCCATCAAGCAGGAAAAGTAAGCAGAGGCTCGCATGGTTGGCTTGGGGATACATGTGACTGTAAGTTATGGAGGAGGTTATCTCAACTGGTTTCCCACATGACAGGGTGGAGCTGGCCTGCAGACTGCCCGAGCTGGAGCAGCCCGGCTCTGACCAGGAGAACTTGGATTCTGAGGCTTCGGTCAGCTCTGAGAGCCTGCTGGAAGAGCGGCCCGGCAGCGTGGACTCCGAAGGTCAGTATTAAGGTACAGTTGTCGCCGTTTCATATTTGTTTCTCGACTTGTTGTTTGTGTGCTTTGCCCCTCTTATCTGTGGTGCAGGTGTGCAGAAGCTACGGGTGGCATATTTAAGTGACGTGCCGGTGCCGTCTAGCGGGATGTTAGCCGCTGGGACGCATATAGAGTGTCCGCGCGGTGTATGAGACTGTGGGTGTATGAGACTGTGGGTGTATGAGACTGTGGGTGTATGAGACTGTGGGTGTATGAGACTGTGGGTGTATGAGACTGTGGGTGTATGAGACTGGGTGAACCAATGTCAGGAATTCTGCATGCTGTAGCTGCTTTTGTGGGGACTTTGTGTGGCGCAGCCATTATTTTTGGAGGCGTAACTGTTAAGGATTACGGCTGGTCAGTTAACCATCCAGGACTGAATAGCACACATCGTTTTCAACTAACCGATCTTTTTTGCAGTAGGTAAAGGGATGCTGGCGATTAAGAACGACACACCGGCCTGCGCATACAAGCCTGCAGACGAAGCTCACCGGTGCCCCCCACCTGCCTCGCATGCGGCCCGACTGCAGTTAGAACGGCGCCATCCTGTCATTCCCAGCACTGTGAAGCTGCCTCCAGGGGTTCTGTCCCGTTTGGGCAGTCAAACACTCTGCCGCTATACTGCCCAGGCCCTGGCGCAACTGCGAAGGCGAGACCATCCAGCACGGCGCAGAGGCATCACCCAGTCCCTCTACATCTGCCCTGGCGAGGATCCCACATCCGCCCATCTCCCTCTGTTGGACCCCGCCAACTGCCAGTCCAATATTCAGGTCAAAAGGCGCTTCTCTGACCCCGACATCTCTTACACAGATGACGACATCTGACGGCGCCCTAAGAACACGGCGTTTTACTGTGTCTGCATACAGTTACTGTCAACATTGAATGTTTGCGCGTCGTTCAGTTGTCTGTCATAATTGAAGAGCTCTCACTAAGCACTTTTAAAAAATTTCTAGCCTCGGTCAGTGTCACACACGAAGATAATCGTGCTGCATCTTGAGTAGATACTAAATTTTGTGTTGCACACCAATATAGTTTTTTTCCCCCCTTTTTTCTGGAAGACTACCCAAGGCGAATAAAATTCCATCTTCCATTCATTTTGAACTCTGTCAGGACTCAACATTTTTGTCAAGAGTGCCTTTTTTCATACTTACCAATTCATCTGTATTTTCTGGATTCTTCATTTTTTACGATCACTATGAAACTGGTTAAAGCCTGCTTGAAGATAAATGATTAATTGGAAAAATGAGCACTGTGACATTTTCTCATGAAGTCTGGCCTTTTTGTCACTCATACAGTTTCTGAGCAATAGATGAACAAAGTGCTAGCAGGCTTTGAGAACCTAAGCCATTACCCTTCCAAGCAATTCTGCTGTCGTTTGGGAAGATAAGGAAGATTTGTTCTGTTGAATTGACCGTGCCAAACGATTTCTCCCATGGGATAAACACTTAATGCTTAAGAATGGAAACTTGAAACTCATTGGAAACTCATTTTTAATATACTTTGCAAGGTGGCACTTTCATAGCGTGTAACTGGCTACGTAACAGCCGTGTGAAACGGACCATGCCTTTCACATGTAGTTATTTCCTTTTCCCCTTTACACTACTGTACCTGCTATTGCACGCAACATATGAAGCAATAAGATGAGCAGTTACTAGATTTGCACACTTTGGGAACATCTGGGCTACTTGGAAGTAGTATGTGCCTTTTCAGATACAGTATGAGAACCATTTTCCAACATAAGATTCAAACTGGACAGGCCTCTGAACCTTAATATGACTCGTCCAATGACCGTCCCCTTTGGCCTGCTGGGTTTTCAATGATATTTAACATTTTTCCACCCCTGGTCTTAAGTCTCCAGTAACTGTATAAAGTTTTATGAACATTTTAGCTAGTTTTTTAAGAACTTGTATGTAGTATTGTAATTAGTCATTCTTTGAGGTTCGAGAACCCCAAACAGAGTGTAATTGCTTTTGGAAACCACTTGACTGAAAAGTATTCCTTGCATGGTCTGAATGACCTGACTGTTGCTTAATGTGCTTTTTTTAATGGACCAAAACACGCTTAACCCACTTAAGAATATGTATACAAAGAAAATGCCTTCAAGCTGTCATGGACTCTTCAAAAACTTTTGCAGTTTTGAATCTGGGGTGCAACTGGTGTTTAGAGCCTTAGATTTGCAAAGTATAAAGGTGCTCATGTAAGTTTTTCTTTTTTTCTTTTTTTTTTTTTGTCAATACATTCCATATTCAGATTTGCTACTGAAAGTCATCCATCCAAGTTTGAAGGTGGACTTAAATAAACTAGCCAGTTTATCTGTGTAATGTTGATAATTAAACAATCTGGCTGGATGTGGAATTGAATTGTAAATGTTACTTTTTGTTTAATTCCATTGACTGTAATTTTGGCATCTTAAAGGCATCAGATTGGTACATGTCTGCACTTTCGTCTTGTGCCACAACAGGATAGTATTCTCCTTTCTTTACTTTTGTTGTATTTTTAAACTCCTACATTAAACATTTATGCTACCTGTCATACCTTTGTCTCAGCAGAAACTGGTCCCAAATAAAATTAAATCCTTTTTTCCTCAAGCAACAGCAATTCAGTCTTTCCAATCCAATCCTTTCATCTCCATTAGACCACTGATAACTCATGAAAGAAACTTTACCAAAGGAAATCATTCTTAATTATTTGCTGCTGATGTGCCTGAAACAAGAGTGACAAAGGGAGGGTTTTTGCAATGGACATGATCAAGCCATAACATAACTACTGATAGGTGAATCAAATAACATTATCTTGTTACAATGGAACTTATCAAGGGTGTGATTATATATTAAGCAAATGAACAATCAGTTTTTGAAGTAGATGTGTTGGAAGCAGCAAAAATGGGCAAGTGTAAGGATCTGAGAGACTTTGACAAGGGCCACATTGTGATGGTTAAGTAGCTGGGTCAGAGCATCACCAAAGCAGGTGGTCTTGTGGGACGCTTGTGGGATGCAGGGGTTAGTACCTACCAAAAGTGGTCCAAGGAAGGCTGACCTTGGTGACGAGGTCATGGGTGCCCAAGGCTCACTGATGTGTGTGGGGAGTGAAGGCCAGCCTGTCTGGTCTGATCCCACAGGAGAGCTACTGCAGCAGAAATTACTGAAAAAGTTAATGCTGGCTATGATAGGATGAAGTCAGAATACATAGGACATTGCAGCATGCTGTGTATGGGGCTGTGTACCTAAAGACCGGTCAGAGTGACCGTGCTGACCCCTGAAAGCGCCTATTAAAGCTTTTTTAAAATGTATTTTCAAACCGGGATCATATCAAAAAACTGATAAAATTGCTGATGAGGGCTGCTGAAAAAAAGGTCTGTTTGCCGTAGGTCTTATCTGCAGTTCATACTGAAAAAGTAGATATCGTTTCCCAATCTGATACTGCTGTATTCCATGTCCATTATGCCTAGCCTGGCACTTTTTTCCTGGCTAAAAAGTGCTGTTGCTGGGGTAAGTATGGCAGTTTGCTGTATCTTCTGGTGTCTTTCCCAAAATAAAGATGTGCCTTATTAAAGCCTCTCTAGAATGAAAGTCAGGAAAGCAGGAGCTTAGACAAACTTTCCTTAGTTCAGGAAGTGATGTCTTCTGCTTTCTCAGTTCAAGGTTTTGAACTATGTAGGAAGCAGGGTGTTTCTCACTGCTCACACAAGCTCGCTGCTGAACCACAAACTCCAGTTTGCCTTAGCTGTGGCACATGAAGAAGACCCACACCCCCACACTGGATAAAGGACGGAGTCTGGCTTTGGATACACTAGTATTTTGGCATTCGGTTAGAATTTATTCATTGAGTGAATTGGTTGCTTCCCTCTGTCGCTAACTGTGACTACTCCAGTACCACGACACCACAGTTGTCATTCACCACTCAGACCTGTCACCTGTTGCAACATCCCCCGGCATTACGGTTTCCTTTCCTCTTGCCTGTGGTCGTTCAATATTTCGAGCATTTAACCACTAACCAACCAATATTTAACCAATATTATTTTTCATGACACTTGTGAAACGATATATGTTATGAATGAGTAGTCTGTTTAAATGTTGCATCTCAGCCTAAAATAGCGAGAAGCTGCCTGAATTTCTGAGTGAAGCTAAGCGCCCTAATAAGGAAAAGGCATTTGACAGACCGCTGTAACCAGATAAATAAATGGCTACGTGCGATGCGTTCGTTCAAAAAGAGGATCTTCCGCTAGCATAGCGTGGTTAGAGGCACCCCCTACGTTTATGACACCGGCTGCTTTTCCCTCGACGATGATTGGTTCAGACATTTCTATAGCAGATCTCAGCCAATCGGCGATAACATTACTCTAGTTACTGAATGAACTTTAACCCTTACCGCATACCTTTCCCCAAACCTGCACAGCTTTCACTATATTATTCGTTACAATTAACAATACTGGTGTTCGGATATCAGGCAAAACTATTATTTTAGTAAAATATCAATGTTTTCTGGTTATATATCAATTGTTCAAATGTACAGGTGGCCTACAAGCAGCTAGCATGGTTTGTTCTGTAATGGTTGCACTCCGACTTAAATTCTCAAATAAACTGAATTCTAGAAATGAAATATGAAGCTTTTACGGAGGGACTTCTTGACCAATAAGACGCCGACGCACAGGCGGCCGCCCAATAGCGGCGCTCGGGCGTGCGGATGGGGAGGGGCTTCCGCGGCTCCAGGAAGATGGGATAGACAGAAAAGATGGGCAGATAGGAAATCATTTTTACTATTTTACATTTTTGAATCATTCATCTTACGTTCTTTTCTTTGCCAGCAAGAATGGATGGATGCTAACATGACAGGAGAGAAAAAGAAGAAAAAGCGGTTGAACCGCAGCATTCTTCTTGCCAAGAAAATTATTATAAAAGATGGAGGAAATGTGAGTTAAATATTTATTTATGTGTTGAATATATAATCACATGTAGCACCACCGTTATATAATTAGATTTCTGGATTTTCCTTTCGTTCTGTTCAGTTGTATATCAGAGTGATTCTGGTAGCTAAACACTGTCGCACTGTTCGCGGCTCCCAGTCCCGCTCCGATGACCTACCTTATCCGCATCTCTCACTGTGCACGGATGTACTGGCGGATGGGTGGGGACAGTTGCATCCTTTACAAAACTATATGTGCTGTGTACATCTAATATGAAGCGAGGCGTTGTGCAAAATAAACGGCAAACTTGTTCTCCTGCACTTCAGTGATGAAGGTGGGACTGTTTGAGGCGCCGGTTCGGTGTTTGCAAAGTACAGTATGCCTGCACGCGCTGTTATCATTTATTATTGTCAGAGAACAAATACCATCGTCATTTGTATTGTCATCGTTTTCAAGAACGCTATATTGCAAAAACAGTCAAACTTCCCACTTAATGAATGCACTTCAATATTTATTACCATTATTTAAAATAATGTCAATATTAATTTGCATTAATAGGCATGTACTGTTTGCGGACTTCGAGTCGAACTTGGAATCATGGCCTAGTTGGTTACTTGGTACGAGTTTGTTAGTAGTATCTAACAGAACCTTGTAAAGTGTCCACGTTGCACAAAAAAGGCATAGCCGGGGGTACATCGCCATAAGGATTATCCCGGAGTACCTGTTAATATGTTTTATTTAGAAAAGACACCGAACACAAAAGAAAATTCATCTCAGCCGATCGAACTGAAGGCAGTTTTGAATGTCTTTCTAATGATTAAGGCACGCGTTACATTATTAAAATATTTTTAAATTTACCGGCTAATGTTCTTAGTGTAATAGAATTTTACACATTTGTACAGGTGCAGTGGATTTTTAAAAGTTTGTTTTTAGCTTATCTGCCAAGGCTTTTCATAATTTTATTTTCATAAATCAGATTTCATAATTCAATGAGCCACTTGGTTGGTAGGTCAGCACCAAGCTGGCACATCTGCAGTATTGTTTATGTCCAGTGCTGAAGAAATGACCTCCTGCCCCATGTGAAGTGTGACACCCCCTGCATTTCATCCTCTTGATGGCATATGATGATCTCCAAATGTAGAGAGTGGCCCTTTGGGGACCTGGATGTAATCGTGAGGAGAGTTTGTTCTAAAAATATCCTTCCTGTAATTGGCTATTTATTGCCTGGCATGCTTTGTCTTTTAATTCGCACTGTGACACATTTCATAGCAGACCCATGTTAGATCTGGTATTTCTCCAAGGTAAAAGTACTTATTTTTATTTTGCAGCCCCAAGGAATAGGCGAGCCCAGCGTCTACCATGCGGTGGTGGTGATTTTCCTGGAGTTCTTCGCTTGGGGCCTTCTCACCACTCCCATGCTGACGGTAAACTTCTCCTTCTTCCTCTGTGAAGAAAACGCAAGCATGACTTCAGGGGGTTCTGCTTTAAATTGTTGCAGAATTGTCTTCAGATTTTCTCACAAAATAAACTGGATAATTGCACATTTGATGAATGCAGAGTGCATTTGGGCTCATTTTCAATGGAGAATTTAATAGTGTTTAATAGTTACATCAATATTTCAGAGCTCAGGGGGAGCTTGATAGTGTCTCCCCAAGTGCCTTCTCTCAAAAAGGGCTACAGAACCTCATCATTATGACTTTGTTTCTCAGGAACATTACATTTGAACATTTCTCAGTGACTCCTGAGTAGATGGATACATTTTTATATCTGTGCTTTCCGTTCTTTTAGAGCTGCGTCTCCCGATTCGCCAGTTTCCGTGACCATATCGGTCCATCTATAATATGAATAAAATTGTGACTGGAAGAGAAATGCATAGGTCTAATTTATGATATTTATTCTGTACACTTAGTACTGAAATCATGGAATTATGGTGCATTAGTTTGTTATTTTGGGTCACAACTGCAGGCATAAGGTTATAATTTGGGAGAAAGTACCGCATATAATATGCAACACAGTATTTAAGCAACATCACATATGGCTGAATGAGTAACGCGGTTGTCTCACACCTCCGTAGCACTGGTAGCACTGCAGCAGAGTGGTTAGCGAGGTTGTCTCACACCTCCGTAGCTCTGGTAGCACTGCAGCAGAGTGGGTAGCGAGGTTGTCTCACACTTCCGTAGCACTGGTAGCACTGCAGCAGAGTGG